GAGTTCCACGCATTTTCTTTCACATTATCTTTCGCTCAATTCTGCAGCATTTTCGAATTGCCTTACGAACACACTTCAGATCGCTGACCGCGAAATTGTTTGGTAATTATTAGTAAAGTGACGCCTTCAAATCTAATGTGCGCAACTGTGTGACTAGCAACTTGCCACATTTTTGAGATACATTTGTCTCATTTGCACTGTTTTCATTCCTTTTATCTGGTCGACTTGACTATTATATAATATTAGGGAATTTATTTTTATGACCGTTTTGTTCCGTTTCATAAGTTGAAGCGTGGCTATCACTGAAAAGTTTTGTTTGGCAAAAGCTGATCCATCGGAACATCGATCGGAATGATGCCACTTTTAAGTAATGGTATGCTGGATTTCTAGGGAAATGTTTTAGAAGGTTTAACATGATAAAATTTCAAGGTTTTATCAAGTCGAAAAGTTTTGCTTCTATATATCTTTTGGTATATATGCGGAATAATAGTAGGATTCAATCYTTTTCAATTCAATATAATATATTATACAATTGGAGCTGGTCGGAGGAGTTTGTATACTACGAGTAGACAAATTTGCATAACCAAATCAACTACTCAAAAGATGTTCATCAACAGAAACTATTGAAAAAGGCCATTTGATCAAAAATTAGGGGTTTTTCATAAGTATCACGTGGGGTTGCTGGCAGCCAACACCTAAGGTCATTATAGATCGCAGCAAATCATTATTGATATATTTCACATTATACTTCATTACACTCCGCTCCACTTTAAGGTAAAGGTTATAATGGCCATAAGGAAGTCATGATCCTAGTCTTTACTCAATGTATGTAACAGAGGGCACTCACCTTTTGTTTGTTCACTTTACCACAATACAAAAAGGAAATAGCGAAAGAAAAACGTGCTTACCCGTGCGTGTGGATATTTTATTGTTTGTGTCCGGGAGWCACCCAACATATTTTTTATTTAAAGAACACAGGTGAAATTGTACACTGAATGTATTTAATTATTTAAAAGTCGGAGGATATTTCAAAAGATGGCGGATGAAAGCGGGACGTCAAAATTTAGGACCGATCAYTGACCACCAGATAAGGTAKTATTTCATGGGAGTGACAAGACATTTTACGTCTCCTCTATTGCATGGACGGACTGACGCCTATTTTGCTGTAGCTGGCTTAAAATTGTCGGGATGGATGTCGCCCAATGGCTTTCCACTTCTCTGTCACATAAGTACAGCAACAATATGTAGACCAAAACCAACTGAAACTATTGT